CCTCCTGCCAAGAAGCAGGAATATTGCATTCAAAGCACCCCTGACAGATAGCCATCCAGCCTCTGTTTAAAAGCTTCCAAAGAAGGAGCCTCCACCACACTCCAGGGCAGAGAGTTCCACTGCTGAACGGCTCTCACAGTCAGGAGGTTCTTCCTCGTGTTCAGATGGAATCTCCTTTCTTGTAGTTTGAAGCCATTGTTCCGTGTCCTAGTCTCCAGGGAAGCATAAAACAAGCTTGCTCCCTCCTCCCTGTGGCTTCCTCTCACATATTTATACATGGCTATCATATCTCCTCTCAGCCTTCTCTTCTTCAGGCTAAACATGCCCAGCTCCTTAAGCCGCTCCTCATAGGGCTTGTTCTCCAGACCCTTGATCATTTGTCACCCTCCTCTGGACACATTCCAGCTTGTCAATATCTCTCTTGAATTGTGGTGCCCAGAATTGGACACAATATTCCAGGTGTGGTCTAACCAAAGCAGAATAGAGGGGTAGCATGACTTCCCTAGATCTAGACACTATGCTCCTATTGATGCAGGCCAAAATCCCATTGGCTTTTTTTGCCGCCACATCACATTGTTGGCTCATGTTTAACTTGTTGTCCACGAGGACTCCAAGATCTTTTTCACACGTACTGCTCTCGAGCCAGGCATCATCCCCCATTCTGTATCTTTGCATTTCGTTTTTTCTGCCTAAGTGGAGTATCTTGCATTTGTCCCTGTTGAACTTCATTTTGTTAGTTTTGGCCCATCTCTCTAATCTGTCAAGATCGTTTTGAATTCTGCTCCTGTCCTCTGGAGTATTGGCTATCCCTCCCAATTTGGTGTCGTCTGCAAACTTGATGATCATGCCTTCTAACCCTTCATCTAAGTCATTAATAAAGATGTTGAAAAGGACCGGGCCCAGGACAGAACCCTGCGGCACTCCGCTCGTCACTTCTTTCCAGGATGAAGAGGAAGCATTGGTGACCACCCTCTGGGTTTGTCCATTTAACCAATTACAGATACACCTCAATGTAGTTTTGCCTAACCCACATTGGACTAGTTTGTTTGCCAGAAGGTCATGAGGGACCTTGTCGAAGGCCTTACTGAAATCCAGGTATGCTACATCCATGGCATTCCCTGCATCTACCCAGCTTGTAACCGTTTGTTATCTTTCTTTTGCTGGAGATGAAGTGATCGCCTCAATCTCTGAAAGTTCTGCCTCTGTTTACTAAAACTTTGCTTTCCATCCAAGGTTTCACCATCTTCTTCCTCATTACACCTAGCACATCGATCTCAGCATCATTTTCAGACAATTACTCTGAGAAAAGCAGTGAAAGTTCTCCCCCAGGACCATGGCCTTGTGAATCCTCCTGAAACAGCTCAGGCTCTCTTCTGAACTTAACTCAGGCCCAAGCAAACCATCATCCCCAGGCCCATCATCAGGAACACCATCCACATTCCCATCATGAACATCAACATGAACATAATTCCCATCATAAACATCGAAATGAACATCAGACACAATCACAGGTTGAACATGATGACATACAACACTCTCACAGTGCAAGAGGAAGGCAGTGACAAATTTCCACTACCATTGTTATTTTGAGAGGGTCTGTTCAACAGCTCCAGAGCCACAAAGTAAAGCATACTACTCCCAGTAAATCAAGGAACAGCCAATTCCGGCACATAAACCACATGGACATTCCCACCAGTACCAAAGCCCACTCCTCAAGCCCTCTGCACATTTTTAAAAGCTTGGTGTGAAGGTTATACAGAGATACCACAAGTGCACAAAAATATGCAACAACACCTTCACAAAATCCATTCAGATCAAAATCCTTTCAGATCATTTAGGCACACTGTGCAGTATGTGGAAAAAATTGCTAAAATGCCCCATGTTCTTTCTCTTTCTGATTTCTTCCAGAATGCTGGCAGAGAAACTGAATGAATAAACTACTAAATATAATACGCAGCAGCACAAAAATGTTCATGCGTGAACACATTTCCAGGTCTGCAACTTCAGTTTATGCTAACAGCTTGATCACACCCATTCTTATTTGATTGTTCAAATAATCCATAGTAGGTTGAAAAGAAAAGAAACTGCATGAGATTCAGCAAATGGCTAGAGAAGAAAAAGGAATCCATGTTTTTTTTTCCTTCCTGCATGGAAAACTACTGGAGGACCTTAGGCAAGTCACACTCTTAGCCTCAGATGACAATGAGAAACCTTCTCTGAATAAAAAAAAAACCCCACCAAACCCCCTAGGATAGGGGCACCATAAGCTGGAAGTCATTTTGAAGCCACACAACAACAACAACCTTGAAATAAGTAAGAACAGGGCCAGCTGATCTTAGGAAAAGAATTGTGAAATTTTATATTCTAATACAGTGTGGCACTGAAGAATAACATTTACTCATTCCTATATGATATATTTTTAATTTAAGCTAGGCTAGTATGTAGGGAGAGATATATGTAGACACGCAAAATGGAACTTTTTATATAGGTGGATAAGCTGCACATATAGATTATCAACTCTATCATTATGTCTGGAATCATTCTGAAATAGAACACCTGCAAATTTAGAATTGCACCACATAAGCAAAATCCATTTTAAAAAATGTTGAGGAGGAATATGGGTCCCCCTGACCATCTGGGCCCTGTGCTTGAGCACAACAAAACACAATGGTAAATTCGGCACTGGCTACATATTTTGTACCTGGGAGCTTCTGACAAACAGGATACTGAAAACATAACACCCAGACTAGAATAATGAATGGATAAGTTTTTTTCCCCAAAATTCACTAATGAAATACAAAGATAAATTATTCTCTGAACACCAAAGGCTTAAATTCACTAATTGCACAACTAATAAATGTATGTCTCTTGATTAATAACCTCCAGAGCTTCCAGCAAATGACATAAAAATTTATATCTCTAAAGCACAAATACACAAGGGTATGAATATATAACATTAAACCAACATACAATTAGCAACACTTTATTTTAATTATCTTTTGGGACTCTTAAGGTTAGCCTGTAGTTCATTTTTCTTCATGGATTACTACTTAGACCGCTTGTACAGATAAATTCTGTACCTGTATTGGCACACTCAATTTTTTTCTTACAAGCTGTAGCACAAAATGGAATCAATAAAGAAATCCTATTTGGTGACCTTCCACAACCAGGTTTACCTATCATAATGCTGTGAGATTAGTTCCTCCTGTTCAAGACAATTGGCAATAATTGACAAAACCTCTTAGTTCATTAAACAACTTTCTATCACCAGAAAGGAAACAAAGACTTGAAATGCCTATGGGGGTGAAGCATACCAAAGTAAATAGAAGTATGCTAGAAAGCATATCTGAAAGAATGGTCTGCATGCAATATTCAATCCAATATAAACAATTGCTTAGGGAAGAGGAGGAAAATACACAATACAGGTTATAAAACAAAATACTTGGTATTCACTGTGGGTTGGTTACAGGATTCCTGTGGATACCAAAATCCATGGCTGCTCACACACCATTATATACAATGGCATAGTAAAATGGTGCCCCTTATATAAAATGTCAAAACCAAGGTTTGCTTGGGGGGGGGGGGGTTGGGGGGGTAGGATTTCGAGCTGTGATTGGTGAAATCTAAAGATGCAGAACCCATGGATATGGAGGGTGGACTGTAAATACTAAAATCACAAATGGCTTGATGAAATGAAAGCATATTACAGAGTTTCAAAGGGATATCTCCAAAAATAGACAATAGGATTCAAAATAAAAACGGGAATTCATTTTTTTAAAAAAAATAAAGTATGATGTTGGGGCAAAAATGACATATATTCACTGGTGGGATGTGAGTTGGTAGCAAATGTCCAAGGAATCTGGGGATCATGACTGATATTGCTATGGAAATGTCAACCCCATGTGTAGCTGCTGTAAAATCAGGCAAAAGATAAGGTTTCATTTTCTGAAGTAACTTAATAGCTTCCTTGACACTGATGCAAACCATACTCAAGATCCTGTGGTGTAATTCTAAATGTCCATTATTGAGAATGTTTGAATATACCAAATATATTTTCTCTGTCCCTTTCATCAGCCTTTACACTACCACCTTTAATTTGGGTGGGTAGTGGTGGGAGGGGAATCAGACGTGAAGTTATTGGACTTACTGCACATTTTCTAATTAGATAAATATTAAACTTTATAGCACCATGGCTGCTCCTAACAGTTCATTTCTACTTTTATCTTGCACTGTGTTCTGGAAGACTCAGGATTATATGCTCTGAACTGAAAATTAATTTAGAATCAGGAGGATTTGTCAAATTTGGTGGTTTCTATTCAGGTCATGGTAAACCAACTATCACTTAGTAGGTAGAGCAATCCATGGCATAATACAGCTCTGCGGACAACTGCACCTTTGCAAACTAAATTCCTGGAATACTGCTGACGTAGAAGCATTGTTTTGAGTCATGGGAGAAGGTGCAACAGCTTTCCATGAAGAATCACAAATAGACTTGGAGTTATTGTTACTGCTAGCATCACTTTTTTAGCAGTACTAGTAAGTTACACTGCAATCAAGCAGGATAATACTCAGACCTAGATATATTTGAAGTTTTCTGGGCCCAGATTCTCTGCTTTAGCATGAAAGAAGTTATAGACAGAACAATGGAGATCTATTATACTGCATTGTGCCCCAAATGTGCACCTGAAACTGTATCATAAAGAAAAAAAAATCTGTATTAAAGCCTCTGTGGGTTTGAGCTAGCCTCAAGCTTGAAAGAAGTTACATTTATTTATGAAGTTTCTTTTGAAGGATATATGATCCTTGACATTAGAGGAAGATCATTTCAGCAGTTCCAAGACGAAGCATTTCACTCATCCTGGTTTAATGAATCATGATAAAAAAATACATTGTAACACAAGCTTAGGTGAACTGAGAAAGATAAGATTTATATTGCACCACAATTCTGTACCAATAAAAGTTGGAGACCTCTTATGCAAGAAGCTCTCTTTTTATCTTACCTCCAAAGCCTTCAGCCGTTCCAACAGTAATTTCATCTTCTCTTTTTCCTCTTCAGTGCTGCTGTTTTCCTTGCTTGAATCTTTATCTACTGGCATGCAAATGTCTTCCACACCTGTTTTGCACCTCTTGCCTTCTTGTGTTAATGTTTCCTAAAATGGTTAATATAGTTTTCATCAATGTTCTAATTATACACATAAATTATAGATAAACACTGAAAACCTTGAAATGTGTAGCATCTCATATATAGGGGGAAACATCCTGCTACATATATATAGGTGCCTTGGTATTGGCTGGCATTTGATTCAAGGATATGCACACCCCACATGCTCATGGATGCAAAACTCTGTAAATGCTCAATTCCCATTATGTATAATGGTGAAGGAAAATGGTGTTCTTTATATAAAAAGGGAAAGTAAAGGTTGCTTTAGGAATGTTTTCCAAAAGTCTTTTCATGCTGTAGATGGTAGAATGCATTGGTGCAGAATCAGTGGATATGAAGGGTTAAGTGTATCTTAAGACCAGCAGTGGGGTATGCATGTATTGTTTTTAAATCTCATTTTGAGTTCCTATACTGGGAGAAAGGCAGGATAAAAATAAATAATCCCTGTCTGTTGCTCTTTTGTGAGCATGAGTACAGATGTTCCCCTTCTATAGTGTTACTATTATTGCTTATTCCATACCCTGCCTTTCCTTCAAAAAGCTCAAGGTGACCTTCCATCCTATCCTGACAGCGATCCTCTGACATAAGTCAGGCTGAGAGACAGTGACTGGTTGAAGATCACCCAAAGGCAATGCCATGGTGCAGTGGGACTAGAACTGGGACCTCTGAAGTCTCAGCCTACCTACAACACCAAGTGATCTGTTTGATACTTGTAGCATGACATGGTACCTACATCTCACACTTCCTCCCTTGAATGTATGGAGTTACAGGGAAGGCAAAACTACTGTGGTAGACTGTGAAAAAAAATCTAAGAGTTTTTGATGTGAATGATTATCAGAATCACAGTCTCAGCAATGCTAGACATATGGGAAATGCCATTGGTGGAAAGCAGAATTCTAATAGAGAGGCAAATAAAGAAAATGCATTTCTAGCCACACCGAATGTCAAATCACAAAATGAATGCCTGCTTCATGAGGGAAGACAAAATTCAGTGTGAGGCAATTGCTCTGCATATTTTGGATTTTGAAAAGTTAACCTCAATATCAGAGCTGCCATCAGGATTCAACACTCTTGGTGAGCTGTGAACACCCATAAACTCATGAGAGGCACTGTTGCTTGTCTTTGACCTACCAGTCACGGGCCTCAAGTCAGATAGACATACACAGACACAGACAGTCTATGGGGAGAAGGTTTTGGAAAATTTGTTTTCTTCCAAGCACTCTTGCCTATTGCTAATGTAATCCATAGGTGCTTTCAAAATTAAAGACAGCAGGAAACTCAGGATATTTGTGTGTGTGTGTGTGAAAGAGAGAGAGAGAGCATATGCAAATATGCTACACATGCACAACTACCACCATCAACTAAAGTCTTTCTAGAATTTTGAAGTAATTAAATTGTGAATGACTTGCATTTAATTACTTTCCTAAACCCTAAATATTTTGCTACATAAAGTACATTACAACAGTGGCTTAATGATACAATATCGATGACCAAACAATGGCATATCGAAACCAGACAAAAGATAGAAGGTGAAATAAGAGTTACTACATTGTCATCTATTTGAATGGCTTAAGCAAACTGAATATAACTTTTTCAGCTATTGGGGAGGGGGGCGGTTTACAAAATGGCAAAAGAGGACTAGCATAGGCTTCATGTTTTCCCTCATGTTCTGTTTGTTTTGTTGCTTTGAGATACAGTACTTATATTGAGTGGAAGGTGAAGTGAATTGGAAAATAGTAGCTTCTAAAACCTAGATTCATTTGTGTAAAGCAAATTAGAAATTAACTATTTTAGTTACTTTTGAGAAATGGGAAATATTTTTAAAAAGAAAACAATGTATCAAGAATGTTAACTATTTTATTCAGCTAGAACAATTACTTCTTCACTTTCCAAGCTCTGAGTTAGAAAAATCAAACACTGCATTCTTGTATTTTCTACTACCTTTTCTTTCTTCTTCTTCTGCCCAATAACAGATGGAAGAAAATCTTTATCTTTGATTTCTAGGGACAGTTTGAATTTCCATAGAGGGAAGGGGTAAATTAAATAGATACGTTGAAATCAGACAGTCAAGATTTGGATGTTTCCTGTCCTTTGTATATTTCCATGGGAAGGGAAGGGACAATAGAAAGAGGTGCTAGTGCAGAAAGATTAAGAAAAGAGAAGATATGCAAGATTTCTACACGGAACAGAAAAGAGAACCTGAAAAGGGAGAAAAGAAAACGACAGGTGCCAATAGTATGCATATAAATAAAAACAGGTGCAATGATTTATCTCCAATCTACAGAGCAAAGTTGCTTCATTCAACCAAATCTAAAATCCACAAAAGAAAAATATTTTTATTGGCCAAACAAAATATAGAAAATACATTGTGTAAGCTTTCAAAGCCACGTTTTCAGGCAAAAATGTTTAAAATCACACAGGAGAAGAAAAGTGATGGTTTATAGAATCACAGGTATCTATTTCACCTTGATTGTTATTTCGATTATCAGCTACGATGGTCTAGAACAGAGATTTCCAAACATTTCATGTTGGTGACACACTTTATAGACATGCGTCATTTTGCAGCACTGTAATTCAGTTTTACCGGCCAACTGGAGGTTAAGCCAACCCCTTGTAAGAGATCTGAACACATGCATAAACTGTAATAATGAAATGTTTGAGGGCACAACATACCTCATGAAATCCTTTCATTTATAAATTTCAAAATATATGATTAATTGCCTATTTCATGCTGATTCAGAAGTTTCTAGTTACATTTGTATGAGACACCTACATATTGCAGCTGACACACTAATGTGTTGTGACACACAGTTTGGAAAACTCTGATCTAGAGGGATATCAACTGGAGGCAGAAGTGGGGTTTTGGTACAAATGGAATCAAAAGACATGTAATAAAATTTCAACTCCTTTGACAACAGAAAATATATCCCTTGGATCCAAACTACCCCTGAACAGTGCAAAGCTAACTCTCTTTTCCTAGACAGAAAACATTGATTTTCTCAAGAAGTCCCTGTACTATTTCATCTGGAAAAAAACACTGTAAGTGCTGTATGGGTAAAACATGCCAATTATGGTCTAAATGAGAGAGTTTTAGCTTTGTTGGAGTTAGAAACTGTAAAAAGTTATGTCCTAGTCCATTAGCACCATATTATTAAAGTTTCCCCTGTTAGAGTTAAAGATAACTCTCAAGTTAGAGACAACTCTATCAACACTTTTCTTCTCCTATATCAGTGGTTCTCAACCTTTCTAATGCCACAACCCTTTAATACAGATCCTCCTGTTGTGGTGACCTTCAACCATATTTTTTTTGTTGCTACTTCATAACTGTCATTTTGCTATTGTTATGAATCGTAATGTAAATATCTGATATGCAGGATGTATTTTCATTCACTGGACCAAATTTGGCACAAATACCCGATATGCCCAAATTTGAGTTCTGGTGGGGCTGGGGGGGGGGGGGGAGATAGATTTTGTTGAGAATTGTAGTTTCTGCGATTTATAGTTCACCTACAATCAAAGAGCATTCTGAATCTCACCAACAATAGAATTGGGGCAAACCTCACACAGAAAATACTGTGTTTTTTTTTATTGGTTTGCATACAAAAAACAAAACCGACACCAAAGAAAAACCGAAATAAGTAAAAAACAAAAAAGAAAGAGAGAAAAAAACAGAAAAAAAGGAAAAAAAGATATACAAAAGAGTATGCAAATTTGCAGAATGGTATACAGTCAGCGCTCATTAAACATATAAAAAATCAAATTTGACTGTACAGTTATAATACATTAACATTTAATGTCCCTCTAACCCCACACCCGTGAACCCGACCCCTGTGACCTCCGACACCACTCCGTATGGATCACATAACTAACCCACAACTACCCACGTGTCTTCTTTCACTGAATCCCCTTTATGGCGATCTTCAAATCTACTTTTGTCTTCTTTTCCAGATATCCAATTGCCAACCGCCATTTTTTAACAAATTCTTCATTATTTCCACCTCTGCTGCTATTTGTCAGTTTGGCCATTTGGATATAGTCTACTAATTTATCTCTCCAATCCTTAATAATTAACTCTTTTTCCCCCTTCCACGATTTAGCTATTATTAGTCTCGCAGCAACAAAACAATACTGACAAATTTCTTCATCTCCTGTGCTAATACGCCTCCTAAATATTCCTAATAAGCACATTTCTGGGTTTTTCTTGATTTTTTTGCTAATCATTTTATTTGTTTCTTTCATCACTTTTTTCCAGAATTCTTTAACTATGTTACAGGTCCACCATACGTGGAAAAAAGATCCCTTCACCTTCTTGCATCTCCAGCAAGCCCCTTGTCCTGTTTTCTCTATTTTAGCTAGTACCTCTGGGGTTATATAGGTTCTGTAAAACATTTTAAACATATTTTCTCTAATTGAGCTGGCCACTGAGAATCTAAAGCCCTTATTCCAAAGACATTCCCACTCTTCCAGATCGATATTTCTGCCAACATCTTGGGCCCACGTGATCATAACGGATTTTATTTGGTTGTCTACTAAGTTATATTCTAAAATGTATTTGTAAAGTCTGGATATTAGGCCTTTGTTGCCCTTCTCGAAAATACTTTCTAACTCCGATTTATTAGAGGCAAATCCTAGTTTTGCATCCTTCCTAAATCTGTCGTGTAGTTGGAAAAAACTGAACCAATCTTTTAACCCAGATTCTTCTCTGCTTTTAAGTATCCATTGTCCTTTCTCATTGACCAGATAATCCTTGTATGTGCCAGAGTCAGTATATGTGGCCGGTCTCTGGACTGCTTCCAATGGGCACAGCCATAGGGGGGTTTTTTTGGCTCCATACCCTTCTTATATCTTTTCCATGTTGCTAAAAGGCTGGCTCTTATTACGTGCCCGTTGAATTCTTTGTTCACCCTGTCCTTATAATCCCATAGATAGGCGTGCCATCCATATCTTAAATTATGGCCCTCTAACTTAAGCAACTCCTTATTGTCCATT